AAACTAATTAGAACCATTGGTTTCCAAAATGAAGTCAAACCATTTGTTTTCAATAGAAAGCTAATTGAAACTATTGGTTCCCAATGGGGAACTAATTAACGCTATGGGTTTCCCTAATTAAAGCCATTGGCTTCCCAATAGGCGACTACTGTTAACCATTGGTTTCCAATAGAGAACTAATGAACACCATTCGTTTCCAATAGAAAACTAATTAGAACCATTAGTTTCCATAGTTAAAACCATTGGTTTCCCAATAGGAAGCTAATGAAAACCATTGGTGTCCCAATAGACAACTAATGAGAACCATTAGTTCCCAATAGAAGACTACTAAAAAACCATTGGTTCCCAATTTACAACTAATGAAAACAATTGGTTTCCAAAATGAAGACTAATTGAAACCATTGGTTTCCAAAAGAAACTTGAGGGAAACAATTGGTTTCCAATAGAAAACTCATAAAAGCCATTGGTTACAACAAGAAAATAATTAAAACCATTGGTTTCCAATGGGCAACTAATTAAAACCATTGGTTGCCAATAGAAAACAAATAAAAAACCATTGGTTTCCAATAGCAAACTAATTAAAACCATTGGTTCCCAATAGAAAACTAATAAAAACCATTGGCTTCCAATAGAAAACTAATAAAAACCTTTGGCCCCCGATCGAATTTATAGAAACAATTGGTTTCCAATGGAGAACTAATTTAACCCATTGGTTTCGAATAGAAAACTAATTGAAACCATTGCCTCCCAATCGAAAACTAATAACAACACATGGTTCCCAATAGAAAACTAATTAAAAGAATTGGTTTTCAATAGAACTAATTAACACCATTGGTTCCCAATAGAAAGCTAATAAAAACCATTGGTTCCCAATAGAAAGCTAATTAAAACCATTGGTTCCCAACAGAAAACTGTTTAAAGCAATAGGTGCCCAATAGAAAACGAAGCCAAACCATTGGTTTCCATAGAAAACGAAGCCAAACCATTGGTTTCCATAGAAAACGAATTATAACAATGGGTTTCCAATAGAAGACAAAAAAACCCAAACCCAAACCCAAACCCAAACCCAAACCCAAGCCAAAACCTCACCGGCCAGAAGTCAGGTGTGACCCTAGTAGTAATACTAGTAGTAGTAGTAGTAGTAGTAGTAGTAGTAGTAGTAGTAGTAGTAGTAGTAGTAGTAGTAGTAGCAGCAGTAGTAGCAGCAGCAGCAGCAGTCGTAGAAATAGTAGCCGTGGTAGAAGTACGGCTACTAGCCATTATCTTAGTAGTAGAAGTAGAAGTAGAAGTAGTAGCGGCGGCGCGCGGTGCTACCAGGTATTGTGCTGTCGTTCTGTGCCCGCGCGTGACACGCCAATCGGGTTCCCCGCCAATGCGGCCTGCCGCCCTCCCCCCCCTCGCTCCTGGGCCCTGCTTCTGCTCCTCCCGCCGCTCCTCATCTTCTTGCTTGTCCCGCTCCTGCTCCCCGCTCCTGCTCCCCTTGCTCCTGCCCCTGCTCCTCCCGCGGCTCCTCATCCTCCCGCCTTGCTTCTCCCGCGCACCCCCCCCGTGCTGCCAGGTGTCGCGCGGGGCGTCGCCCTGTCTGCGTGCCCCCCCAGCGTCACCTCCACCACGGCTGGCAGCACAGCAGCAGCCTCGGAGGTGGCAGTGGTATATATATATATATATATGACGACAGAGGTTGCAGGGGCGTTCCAGCATGGGTCCAGTGTCCAGGGGAGAACCGCCTGAGGGAGACTGCAAAGGAAAACCCTCCACCTCCCACCCTCTCGCACACAAAGGACGCCCTCTGAGTTTCTTTGATCGATGTTTTTTTTAATGCCAGCACTTTCTTGTTTGCCTGTGCGCTGTTGCCGAGCATCGTGGCAAGAGCTTGAAGGATGGGATATGCTCTGCGCAGGCACGTTTGCAACCGAACGGCTTCCTTCTTGAGTGCGCATTGAATGCGCTCTGGAGACTTACAGGAGGTTCTTTGGGGCCTTGTGGAGGCCAGTGTTGGGACCGTCTTGAAACCATTATGGGCCGCATTTGGGGATCATCGGTCAGTCATGGGACGTCTCGGGGCACTCTCGGGGCCATCTTGGGCCAGCCGTTTTAGTGGTTTCTTGTGACTCTGGTACTTTCCCGGGGCGATCTGAAGCTGAAGCATATTTTTTTACAACCATATCGAACACTTTTAATGCTTTCATTGTGGTTTGTCAACTTCGGGCCTCGCTGGAGGACGGATTCGGGCCGCCTTGGCACAGTTTTGGCGATTTTCGGAGGGCGGTTGCTTTGAAGAGGTGGTGTCACCGTTAGAAAACTATCGATTATACGTACGAGTGACCTTTCGCCGGAGTGACCTTTGGTCCCGGTCCAATGTGGTCCCCCGATTGCCGAACGCGAAGCGGTAGCAACGGCTTGCGCGCCTGGGTTTGGCCACCCCGCGTCTCCCGTGAAGCCGCGCACCAAAGGTCACTCTTGCCCATGGTCGCTCTTGCGTGTAGCCGAAACTGCAGAATCCTTGCCAAACAGGCAACAACCATCCCGACACGCCCCAGATTGCCGAGTGCACGGTGGCGGGTTTCTCGCCTGCTCTGATGGGCGCAGCAGCCCAAGAGGGAAACACCCATCAGGGGCGGTTCTCGGCGCTGCGGCTGGCCGCTGCAACTGGCCAGGCCGGCATCCAGGAGAGGTTTGTGGGCCGGTTGCTATACACGATTCTAGCGGCCACGAATAAGAGTGGCTCTTCGCTGGAGTGAGTGCGGGCCCACTGGGGTCTCCCAATCGCCGAACGCTATGCGGCAGTAGCGTTTTGCGCGCCTGCGTTTGATCCCCCCGCGGGCCCCGAAGAGCCGCGCATCAAAGATCACTGTCCGCGAGGAACATCGGCGGCGCGCACTCGCGGGTCGGGGGAGGAGGGAAGGCTTTTTAGAAGGAGGCTGCTTCTTAGAATGCGCCGGTCTTACATCTACAGACAAGGCCCACGCTTTCTGAGAAGCAGCCTCACTGCCCCCCTCTGCGCGTGGCCGAGCCCTGGGGATCTCAAGAGCCTCGCCTCGGCTCAAGAACAGACAGCCACGGTGTCTCGCTGAGACCTCTCCGCCGCCCCCCCCCCCGCGCTGCTGCGATTGGTGGGCCGGCCGCCGCGCCGCGCCAGGACAAAGCTGCGGCGTGCGGCCGAAGGAGGAGGGCCCGTGAGGGGGAAAGCCGCAGAGCAGGCGGGAGGAGGCGTTCTCTTCTGTCTCTTCAAAACAAACAACTCCTCCCACGCGGTGACAGTGGCACTTCCGCGCCGCGCAGAGGCCCTGTGCTTCGCTTCCCTTCGCCTTCTCCTCTTCCCCCGCCTCCCCCCGCGTGGCAGACAGAGGTTCGGCAGCTGCTCCGCGGGCCTGGGCGCGTGGGCGTAGCGAGGGAAACGGCCACGCTGCCACTGTCACCGCGTGGGGAAAAAACACAACAAACAAAAACGCCTCCTCCCGCCTACTCTGCGGCCTTACCCCTCGTGGGCCCTCTCCTTCGGCCGCACGCCGCAGCATTGTCCTGGCGCCTGGCGTCTGCCCGCCCTGGGTCCCGAAGGAGGCCAGCCAAGCAGGAAGCCGAGGCGAGGCTCTTGAGACCCCCAGGGCTCGGCCACGCGCAGAGGGGGGTAGGTGGAGGGGGGAAGGCTTCTTAGACGCACCCATTTTCTTAGAAGGCGCGGGCCTTCTTTGTAGATGTAGGGCCTGCGCCTTCTAAGAAGCAGACTGATTCTAAAACGCCTTCCCCCCTCCCCCTACCCCCCTCTGCGCGCCGCCGGAGGGCGCAGTCGAGGTGCGGGTGGAGGTCAACCTCAAGGGCTTCCGAAAAGTCTCGGAGCGCGCTTGACCAACACGCTCTTGGAGCCCTGCCAGTCATGCCCCTCCTGGGAGGCTTGATTCAGAATCGGCGCTGGTGTACCCCTGGTCGAAAACTGGCCTCAACCTAATCTTACCCAGTGGCCCTTTGATCTGGCTTAGGAGCCCTTAATCGTTCTGACGAAGACCTTCCAGCAGTTGCCTCCTAGTACTTTGGGGACGCGCATCAAGAAGCCGAGTGCCTTTCGTCAGGGATCCCTGGGTTTCTTCGCTCCGCGCGCTGCGCGGTGTCTTCCCGCGGCCGGTAAGGAAGCTGCTGCGTTCAGGGTACTCTGCGTCCCCCCTTCAGGTGCAGCCTCCGCACGGGTTTTCAAGGTTGGGTTTCTCGCGAGGGTTTCTTGCAGCCGCGCCCGCACTGTAGTGGGCTGCTGCCCATCCCGCCTCAGTGCCTGGGTCGTCGACCGGAGGCCTCTCAGAGGCCGCGCGGAGACTCTTCTGAGGCTGCTTCGGGGCCTGCTAGACAAGAGCCTCTCGGGGAGGCATCTCCTGAGGGCTCCTTTGGGGCTTCTTGGGGGCACATTTAGGGCTTCTTGGGGGTCTCCTGGGCGCCTTTTGGGGGGCCTGCTGGCGGTATCGGCGGCCAACGTTCAGGGGGCTCCAAATGTCAGTACCGTTGCTCATGTTGGGCCCCTCTTAGGGCCGTCTTGGGGGCCTCTTATGCCCCTGTTGGGGGCTTGTGGGCCATCTTGGGGTTATTTCAGGGGCCGCTTGAGCAATCTTGGACACTTTGAAAGCCGAAAGGCGAGTATGCGAAAATCATTAACTCTATGATTTTGGCCTCTTGGGCCAGCCCCGCGGGCCTCCAAGTCGGCCAGAGAGGCCCCCAAGCGAGCCCCAGGACAGCCCCTCGAAGCCATCTGACGACATGTTGGAAGTTTGGGCTCTCAACCACGCTCCCGAGGCTTCTGGGAAAATCGCGCTCCCAGGAGCGCCCAGGAACGCTGGAGAGCGCCTGGAGATCCGTGAGTCTGGGACCTTTGAAAAGGATTTCCAACATTGAATGTCGAGGGCTCTGAGGGGCCTGGGTACGCTCCACTCGATGCCTACTGCACGGTGGCGGATGCTTAGACCGCTTGCATCATTCCTCGGACTCCAAGTATTGCAAAGAATATTGCTGCCTGCCAGGTGGCAGTCCTGTCGCCAGCGTCTCCCGGAGTCGAGCCTGCAGACGAAGCGGGGGCAGAGCAACTCGCGCCGAGCAGCGAGGAGGCGGCAGTCCATCCGCCAGCGCCTCGTGCTGCCTCTGGGGCCGAGGAGCCGAGGGCGGAGCCGCTCGAGCCAGGCAGCGAGGAGGCGACCGTCCTGCCGCCGACGCCTCCTGCTGTCGAGAGGGCGGACGAGCAACTCCCGCTGGGCAGCGAGGGTGCGGCCGCTCGGCCGCCAGCGCCTCCTGCTGCCGAGATCACAGAGGAGGCGGTTTCTGAGCAGCTCGCGCGGGGTAGCGAGGAGGCAGCAGTCCGGGCGACGGCGTCTCTTGTTGCCGAGATGGCAGAGGAGCGGGTGGCGGATCAGGTGGCTCTGGACGGCGAGGAGGCATCAGTCCCGCCGCCAGCGCCTTCTGATGCCGACGCGGCAGTGGAGCTGAGGACGGAGCAGATCTCTCCGGGCAGCGACGACGCGCCGGTTCAGCCGCCAGCGCCTCCCGCTGCCGAGGCCGCAGAGAGTCCGGTGATGGAGCAGCTCGCGCCGACAGGCGAAGGGGTGGCAGGCTCGCCGCCAGCGTCCCCCGCTGCCGAGCGCGCAGAGGAGTCGAGGACGGACCAGTTCGCGCCAGGCGGCGAGGAGGAGGAGGCGGAGGAGGAGGAGGAGGAGGCGACAGCCCAGTCGCCAGCGTCTGCTGCTCATGAGCCCGCAGAGGAGCCGGGGGTGGAGCAGCCCACGCCGTGCAGCGAGGAGGCAGCTACCCAGTCGCCAGCGTCTCCCATTGCCGAGCCGACGGAGGGGCTGATTGCTGTGCAGATCGCAGAGAGCGGGAGACAGGCGCCAGTCCAACCGCCAGCGTCTCGCAAGCTGCAGCTGCCGGCAATCTTTCAGTCTTGCATATCTGCACAGCCTTCCATGCGAGTGTCGTTGTCTGAGCACCCTGTGGTAGAGCCTGCAAAGGAGCCGAGTACGGAGCAGCACGCGCTGGGCAGAGAGGCGGCGTCATGCCAGCCGCCAGTGTCGCCCGCTGCCGCGCCCACAGAGAAGCTGATGGCGGAGCAGTTCGCGCCGAGCGGCGAAGAGACGGCAGTCCAGCCATCGGAGTCTCCTGCTGCAGAGCCCGCAGAGGAGCTGAGAACTGAGCAGCTGCCTCCGAGCAGCGAGGATGCGGCAGTGCAGCTGTCAGCAAGCCCTGCTGCTGAGTTTGCAGAGGAGCTGGGGACAGAACAGCTTGTGCCTATTAGCGAGGAGGAAGAGAAGGAGGATGAGGAGGAGGAGGAGAAGGCAGTCCCTCCACAGGCGTCTTCAACTGCCGAGCTCGCAGAGGAGCTCAGAATTCAGCAGCTGCCTCCAAGCAGCGAGGAGGAGGAGGAAGAGAAGGAGGAGGAGAAGAAGGGGGAGAAGAAGGAGGTGGAGGAGGAGGAGGCGGCAGTGCAGCTGGAAATGTGTCCTGTGACTGAGCCCACTGAGGAGCTGAGAATACAGCAGGTGCCTGCCAGCAGCGAGCAGACGGCAGTGCAGCTGGCAGCGTGCCCCGCTGCCGAGTTTGCAGATGAGTCAGAGACGCAGCAGCGCGCGCCCAGCAGCGAGGAGGAGGAGGTGGAGGAGGAGGAGGAGAAGGAGGCAGGCGGCCGTCGAGCACCCGCTGCCGGGATTGCGGAGGAAATGGGTTCAGAGCAGTTTGTGCCGAGCAGCGAGGAGGCGCAAGCCCGGCCGCCAGCACCTCCAGCTGCCGAGCCCGCAGAGAGTGTGAGGACGCAGCGGGTGCTGATCAGCAGCGACGAGGCGAGTTTCCAGTCGCCAGCTCTCGCCGCGGAGACGGCAGAATGTCTGGGGATAGGCCAGTCTGCGCCGAATGGCGACGAGGCGGCAGCCCAGCTGCCAGCGTCCCCCGCGGCCCAGCACGCGGAGCTGCCCGGCACGCAACAGCTCGCACCGAGCCGCCAGCAGGCCGCAGCGCGGCCGCCAGCTCCTCCCGCCGCGGACCTCGCAGACGAGCCGAGGCCCGAGCAGCTCGCGCCGAGCAGCGGGGAGGCGGCCTCCCAGCTGCCAGCGCCTCCCGCGGCCCAGCCCGGAGAGGAGCCGGGGGCTCATCGGCTCGCACCCGGCGGCGCGGAGGCGCTCCTGGGGCCGCCGGCGCCTCTCGCCGCCGAGGCCGCGGGGGCAGACGGAGCTGCCCGCCGCGAGCGCGCGGGCTGCCCGCTGCCGCCGCGAGGGGCAGAGCAGCGCGCGCCGAGCGGCGACGCTGGGTGCCAGGCCGCCGAGCAGCCGCCGCCGTGCGGCGAGGAGACCGTGGTCGGGCACGCCGCCAGAGGTCTCCTGGCCGAGGGCCTCGCGCCATGCAGCGGGGAGGCGCGCCGTCGTCTGGGGAAGGGGGGGGGGCAGGAGGAGGAGGAGGAGGAGGAGGAGGACCAGTGCAAGCCCAAGACTCATCAGCGACATTGTATTGAACCCTCCTTCCAAGTTCCCTCTTCATAGGCCCCATACCAGGATTCTTATTCACTGGGGAGATGCCCCGTTGGAAGACAACTGCTTGAAATTCCAGAAATGTGCCAGAACATCATTGCCGGGACTTCAGCGCCGCGAACCACTCGTGCCAGAACACCATTTTTCTGGGACTTCAACACCGCGAATCAACGTGACTGCAGCGCCGTGACAGTCCAGTATCGCGCCAAAACACCATATCTGGGACGTCAGCCATAAAAGTCCTTGGAACTCGTGCACACTCATGCGCGGCGCTCAGGTGAGAGCCACATTTTGAAACGGCCCGCTCTCCATCCGTGCAATTTGTGTAGACTTTAAGACGAGTGGGCGCGGGGCTAGGGCGAGAGCCACATTTCGAAAGCCGCCCGCCCTCCATCCGTGAAGCTGTTGCAAATGTGAAGCTTCAGGATCATAAGTGGTGAGTGTGTCCCAGGCGAAACGCCTGGCTCGCCCTTTCGACCAGCCTCGGGGTGCGACAGGGAGGAGTTGTTCAAAGGAGAAGAGATCGAGGAGGAGGAGGAGGAGGAGGAGGAGGAGGAGGAGGAGGGGGTAGGAGGAGGAAGAGGAGGTTGAGGGGGAGGTAGGGGGAGGTATGGGGGAGGCGAGGGGGCATCGGCAGCAGGAGGTGCATTGGGGACATAATCGGAAGCAAGAGCAGCACTGGTAGCAGGATGAGGAGGGGGCGTACGAGGAGGAGGAGGGGAAAAGGAGGATGAGGAGGACGGCGACGTGACACACAACACACAACCACAACACAACACAACACAACAAAAGACAACACAACACAACACAACTCAACATAACACAGCACATCACAGCACAACACAACACAACGCAACACAACGCAACACAGCACAGCACAACACAGCACAGTACACTACACAGCAATACAACACAACACAGCACATCACACCACACCACAACACAGCACATCACAGCACAACAAAGCCCAACCCAGTCCAACCCAACCCAACCCAACCCAACCCAACCCACCACACCACACCACACCACACCACACCACACCACACCACACCACAACACAACACAACACAACACAACACAACACAACACATTACAACACAGGACAGCACAGCACAGCACAGCACAGCACAACACGACACAACACAGCACATCACAGCACAACACAGCACAGCACAACACACCACAACACATCACAACACACAAACCCTATCCGCAGAGTGCGTTCATATCTGCGGAAGATGTGTTAACGACATTGCGTGCAGAACGCTGGAAATCTATCGAAGACGCCTACGGCGAATCACCGCCGCCCCCTGTCCCTTTGGCAGCGCCCATGTGACCGACAGCTGGGCCAAGCTATCGGGCCAGTTGTTCCCCGAGTCGGTTTGGAAAGCTTTCGGGGAATGCGCGGGGGAGCAGTCGGACGAGGATCAGGAGAGGGAGGAGGATGATGATTAGGAGGAGGATGCGGATGAGGATGAGGATGATGGGGATGGAGGAGGAGTAGGAGCAGACTTCTTGGGAACCTTCTTGTGAGGCCTTTTGGGATGCCTCTGCGGAGCTTCCTGGGAGCCTTTTGGAAGCCTCTTGGGAGCCTCCCTGGGCCTCTTGGGGGCTTCTTGCAGGCATTTGGAGGATTCTTGGGGGCCTCTTTGGCCGTCTTAGGGCGTTCCAGGCCCGTCTGACACCGTCGGAAGCCGTCTGGGGGGCCTCTCTGATCCGACCTGGGGCTCTCTTGGGGCGCTTCAGAGCCGTCTTGGGGAGCATCTTGGACGTCTCGGAGGTCGCCGTCTTCGGGGCCTGTTGTGCCGTCATGGGGCCATCTTGGAGGCCTCGTGGGCGATCTTGGGGCGATCTTGGGGGCCTCTTGGGCCGTCTTGAGCCGTCGGAATGCCGAGAAAGAGCAAATGCCACAATCCTTCAAACACCTAAGGAAACTCAATGATTCTCATCTCTCCGGGTCCTCCTGGAGGACCTCTTGAAGGCCTCTTGGGGGCCTCTTGGGCCGTCTTGGGCCATCTTGAGGCCATCTTGGGCCATCTTGGGTGCATCTTGGGCCGTCTTGGAGGCACCTTGGGGCCATCTGAGCAGTCTTGGAGGCCAGATTGGCCGTCTCGCAGGCCTCTTGGGGCCCTCTTTGGGCCGTCTTGGGGCCCTCTTTGGGCAGTCTTCACTTTAAACGGAGAAGGTTAAAGGCGAGGTATAAATCGAGCATGTACCGCTGCCGTGCCTGGCTCAAGCCGGGCCCGGCCAAATATGTGATTGTGCCTCACCGAGGCGCACGACTTGTATCTGAGATCGGAAAATACCTTTTCCATTGACGATGCCCATCCTATCCTTTACTCCAGATCCCATGCTTCGTCTTGCTCTCTTGCTCATGCGATATGAGCCAAAGCCTGGGATATGGCAACGCTTAAAGCGTAACACATACCTAAGCTTACCAGCTTGTTTTCGACTTGGTAGCGGAGCTGGCTACACTCTCGTGTGGCTGGCTCTCGCTCTGATTCCTGTAATCCACGGCACAACTTGGTGGACTACTACTACGGTGGAATACCATGTTGCGCCGGCTCTGCGAGGAGCGGAGCCAGTCCGCGATCGAGCTAGCGGGGCAACCCGCGAACTCGAGACGCTCTCTCCTACTTCACTGCGCTACTTCACTCTCGACTTCCACCAGATGCCAATCGGCAACTCGATCGAGAACGTGGTCACCCTGCGGGGCTACCCGCAGCGGGGCCACCTGCATCCCGTGCCAGTCAGGCGCCTCACGGCTACTACGCCAGAGCCTGACAAACCACAGCCTAAACCAATCACCGAAGCCGAAATGCACATGCACTGGATTAAGATAACTATCTTCGGCATTCTGTGGGTAATAATGGGATGTGCTGTGGGATACATGCGGCAGGGGATGGACGACACGCGTACTACCGGCCCTTCGTGGGACCCTGCCGGTACTACGCCTTTTCGCGAATACGTTCGCGAAGTACATGCATGGATAAACGTAACGAGCGGCAATATGACGCCACCTCAACAAGCTGCAGCACTACAACGAGGCCTTCAAGGTCTTGCTCGTCGTATCGCCATGCAGGTCCCCTCCCAGATCATCAACTATGGTGTAACTGTCAATGGACAGCCAACGGATGCAGTTACATATATACTGTACCTACTGAGCACCAAATTTGAAAATCTGGAAGATGAGCGCCAGCTCAACTCTGGCACTGCCCTTATCGACTTTCGCGTCGAAAGGGGCGAGCGAATCGACTCAGTGTTAGCTCGATTCGAGATGGCTCGTGACGAGGCTAACTCTGTTGGCTTTGTCATCCCCAACTTTCAGATCCTAACGCTGATCCTTTTCAGAGCGTTAGGCGTTGGCGCGTCACGAGCCCAACACCTGCTGGAGCCTTTTAATCATCAGATGCCCAGAACACAAGCAGACTATGACAGGCTGCTGACCAGGATGAGGAACTACGGACATGTTGCCGAGCGCTCTCCTGGCAACATTGCGGGTATCTTCACAGGGCACCACTCACATGCAGGTGTCTACGCCACGACTGCGGGGTCACCCGCTGGTCCTGGCGAGCCAAGTCCCTGGGCTGACCCAGCCGATATGCCCAACGAGGCCACTGCCTTCTTAGGGCAGACCGGCCAGGCATCGGCAGAGGCAGCTGAGGCGAACGCCTGGTCGAACTACTCGCCAGGCGCCGCCTACACTGCAAGCCCGCCCTCGGGCACAACCCTCTGGGGCCAAGCGGAGTCATCCGCTCAAGGGTCTCAGCCACCCTCGCCGTTTGAATCTGGCACTGACACAGATACCTCATCTGACGATGAGCACAATGGCATAGTCTCTGCTGGTAATGACTATCCAGCGGATGACACTCACCTTTCTGAACAACAAAGAGCGGAAGCCGCTTTTATGGCTTATCGCAAATCAAAACGCCGTTGGAGGCGCTTTATGAAGAAACCAGTCAGAAAAGTGAGACGTGCAGTACGCCGACATTTCAAACGATATGGAAAGGGTCGTGGCAAAGGGGGTCGCAGACGCCGTATGCATGGTAGGGGTATTACTGCTTTCCTCACGTCCTTAACTGATATAGTCTTTGAAGAAGTTCTTATCGGAGGCAAAGGTCGGGGTCACAGGCGGACCTCCGGTAAGGGAAAAGGGCGGAGGGGCAACCCTAGGGACGCTTCTGGCAATACTATGAAGTGTCATACATGCGGTAGCACAGAGCATTTGCGCGATCAATGCCCGAAGGGGAAAGGAAAGGGATCCGTACATTTGGCTCAAAATTCTTTTATGGATGACATAGACTACATTGACTACGAGTTTTACGTCAATCCAGAAGCGGCTCCCGCTGCGGGCTCCTCCACGTACTACGTGATGGCCCGCTACGCTGAAGTGACCGTAGCCCTGGAAGACTACGCAGTGACCCTCTTCGACGAGTTCCACGGCTGGGACGAAGTCGACGAGGTCGCGTTCAATGCTTGGTTCGGTCTTCCAGCGGGGCCACCCGCCGACGACGAGATCTCCGAAGCTGAGACCGTCCCGGCGACCGAGGAAGAGCTCACCGCCGCGCTGGCACCGCAGGTGATTGGCATGCCGTTGCTGCCAGATCTTTCGCGAGCTGGCTCGGAGGCGGGAGACGCTGATGACGAAATGCGGGGCCATCCCGCGTATTCTGACTCCGAAGAGGCCGAAGAGGACTATAAGGACATGCTCCAAGAGCAGGTCGCAGAAGCAATCCGGCTCCTGAGTGCGCCAGCACATCAGCAGATAACCATGAACGACCTGCTGTCGCGCCCAGGGGCCGCACGGCTGCGTCCATACCTGGATTCGGACATGTCGGCACCTCAGATGCTGACAGCACTCCAGGCTCTAGCGGGGTCACCCGCCG